TTATTTTTCGACCTGTGTTTGTTGTTTGAAAAAATGCTTTGTTTAGTTATATTCTAAGGTTTCAATTGAAGGTTTCAATCGTACACAAAATGCTGTTCTGACATTTTTATTATGCTTTTCGATTAAAGAGATTTTTAAAAGAGTTAAGATGAATTAACATATCATTTCCATAAATTCAGACGTTCATCTACCTTTATTTACAAAGAGTTGATAGTTTGACATGAATTTAGTCGATTGTTTGTGTGTTTGTTTTTGTGTTTGTCTGTGTGCCAGTGTATGTATGTGTGTGTATTTGTCTCTTTGTCTCTCTCTCTCTTTCTCTTTCTATCTGTTGTCTGTGTGTGTGGCTATATATTTTAAGATAAGAAAGATAAAATATTAAATTATTATTGCCAAATCGGAAAGTCTAAAAATAATAGCTAAAGCCATATGAATGAGTTTCTTAAAGTACATTGTAAAACTTGTATGGTACATCTAAATCATTATGTTTTATATTTTTATAGTTAATAATGTTATAGCTAATATATCATCCAGAATATTTTAAATAATTTTCCATTGATGAAATTCAAATATCTGGAGGGCATCTAACTTAAACTCGTCGTCCACTTCAAAATGACATTCGAAAAGTCTGTAAAAAAAATTATAGGAAATAAATTCATAATTACATTTTTCAAGTTTGTCTGTCTCGTCATCTATTTACATTTCTATTTAATTTATTAATCAAATCGTAATCTATTATTTATTTATACCAAATAAATTTGTATGATGCACATCTCTTGTTTGCCTGCAGGTGCCACAGATACTAAAGGATATAAATAATCATTATTAACTCTCCCATCGAAACATACCTGTTGCCTTTAAGCAGTCGAACATTTTTTTATTTTTAATTCAAGTGTATTAATTAATAAATTAATTAATAATGAAATATAAAGTCATATCAAAATTGTTCAGCCAATATTAAGGTTGAAAGAAATTCCTACTGGGGTATTCATACGATAATATGAATAATTTCTTTCAGCCTCAATATTGGCTGAAGAGTATTTCATAAGAACCAGATAGTAAATAATCAACGCTAAGATCATCACGATTAGGATTTATAACTCAAAATCTGACAATGTTTAGTTCAATTCTCAGTTTTTTAAACAACTACTACTACTACAACTGTATCGTCTCTGTATTAGTTTTTTGTTTATAAATTTGTTTAGGCTGTCCATAACTCTTAATAGTGGTAGAAATTTTATTTCATTTTGATTCTTTGGGAAAATTTGTCGAGTTGTAAAAGCCGAGTGAGGAAGCGAGTTGATGAATATCAAAGATAAAATTAAAAAAATATTATTTAAAATTTTAATATTTTTCTAAATTATTGTATTTAATATAATAATAATAACAATAATAATAATGTACATATATTTGTATAAATAAATATATATATATTTAAATATATTTATACATGTATATTTATTATTTACATTTTTATATACACATACATACCCACATAAGTTTATTATTTACTTCCGTGTTAGGATAAATGTGTGTAGTGTTACAATAATAACAATAATATCATTTCTATCATTAATAATGATATCAAAATTGCTTTTTAAATGATACTATATCATCTTAATCGCATTGTATCATATCATCATCATCGTTATCATCTTCGTTTTATCATTTACACCAACACATCATCTATCATCTTCTAATCTAATGATTTAATCATTAACTAATGAGTAGCTAATGATGTTTTATCGGCAAGTACATCTGCAAACTTGATATTATATCAGAAAAAACTTCAATAACAACAACAATAATAATATTAATAATAAACAATAATAACAACATCAACAACAACGATAACAACATCGACAACAACACCAACAACAACAACACCGTCAAAGAAAACAAAATGGCGATGATTGTATATGATGACATTCTACTGAGTGCGGTGATCAGAATTAAAAAGTCAACATCATCTGTCCTTGACCTTGGGGTACGTTGTGTGTATTTGTTCATGTGTGTGTTTGCGTGTGTATGTGTTTATTTATGTGTATGTGTGTGTGTGTGTGTGTTTATTTATGTGTGTGTGTGTCTGTGTGTTTATGGATGTTTGTGATTATGTGTGTGTGTTTATGGGTGTGTGTTTATGACTTATGTATGCGTGTGTTTGTGTGTTGTGTGGTTTTGTGTGTGTGTGTGTGTGTGTGTGTGTGTGTGCGTGTTTATGAGTGTGTCTGTCTGTCTGTCTGTTTATATGTATGTTGAGCATGTTCTGGTAGACGAAAAAATATATTTTAGTAAATTTTATTAGCAGATAAATTAAATAGATGAATGGATGTGTGAATGAAAGATTGACTAATTGAACGAATGAATAAATGAATGAATGAACAGATGAATTAATCAGTCAGTCGTTGAACGAAAGAACGAACGAATAAATGAATGAATAAATTAATGAATGAATGAATGAACGAAATAATGAACGAAATAATTGTTGTGACAAAAATATATGATGAAATTTATAATTATCTTATTGGTTATAATTTTTTTTTCGCGGGGACACATACGTATAACCTCACACACACACACACACACACACACACACACACACACACACACACACACACACACACACACACACACACACACACACACACACGAACACACACACAAACACACACACAAACACACACAAACACACATATTTATCTTTTTAATTTCGTTAATTATATTTCCAAATAATAATTAATATTATGATTAATAGGTAATGAATACTAATAAAACTGCCACACCAATTAAGATGGTGACTGTGTGGTGTATTGTGTAATGTATTGCACAGTGTGTGTGCGTGCATGTGTTGTGCACATGTGTATGTACCTTATGATGTATTTGTGTGTGTGTGTGCGTGTGTGTGTGTGTGTGTGTGTGTGTTAAGTATGACAAAACTTAGTTATTTTATGCTGTTTAAATTTACTTTTAATATAATAAGGTTGTTGAAGGAAGAAGCAGCGAAAGTAATAACAAAAGGCTAAGCTATACAATGTACCCCACACACAGACAGATACATCATCACACATTGCAAACATACACAACACAATCACATCATTGCAGATACATATACAAACACACACACACACATTACATATAAACACATACAAATACATCATTATACACACACGCACACACATTACATACACACACATTACATATAAACACACATCATTACACACACACACACATAACAACACATATGTACATCATCACACAACACATATACACTCACATTACACATAAACACACAACATCATTACACGTACATACGCACACACAAATACATCCCAGAACAAACAAACACACACACACACACACACAACGACAGTTCTGGAAATCCCATGAAGTTCGTTTAAGGAAGTCATCCAGTGTTGGTCCGCTCAGAATTCAACTGGATTCCATCAGTAGAAGCAGCAGGAAGAAGAAAGAGGTGATGTTTGTGATGCTGCTGCTGAAGCTGCTATTGCTACTGCTGCTGCTACTACTGCTGCTTCTACCACTGCTGCTGTTACTACTACTGCTGCTTATGTGTGACTGAAGAAAAATTGAGAATAATAATGGCCAACATTTTTATTACTGTTAAACACTACAATCATTTTTATCATTGCAAAAAAACATCCTCATCCTCGTTGACATCTTCATCATCATCATCATCTACATTACCACCAGACCGTTGAAAACAGCAACAAGACTCCCCCACAAAAACCACCCGGCAAAAATGACATTCCCCTGGAATACGTGGAACGACTGACCCTCACCCCACCTGACAAGATGGCCAACTCTTTCTATTTCACCTTCCACAACAGCAGCAACAAAGTTCATCTGGCTTTCGATTCGTGTTAGTGGTTCATTAATAATATTCTTTCTCTCCATCCATCTATCAGGGAGAAAGAAGAAATAGGGATAGAAAGATTAGAAGAGAGAGAGAAATTAGAAGAGAGAGAAAAAGAGAGAGAGAGAGATTTTTTATTAATTTTTTTGCTTTGATCGTTTGTATTGTTAATATACGTTACTAAAATTAGCCTCACTAATAAACCAAGATTTATTCATGGACAATAAATAAATATATTCAAATTAAATCAATAAATCCCCACGTAATTGAAGTGAAATTGGCTTAATTTTCAATTAATTAAATTAAAAATTGAATAAATCCCCGGTTAATTAAATAAAAATTTAAACGTTAATTTAAACTGTGGACCTTGCAAACGTTACGATAAGCCGATGTAAGGGTTTAACGTATTTCAGGGATTGATCTTAAATCAGTGCTTAGAAGGGCATGGTTGGGATTTTTCCTGCCTTGTAATGATGGCTTTTGACGTTCTTAAGGATAATCACACTTGAAACTAAATAAATAAATAGACTAACAAATTGATAAATGATCATAAATGATAACGAGTATTGGTTAAACTGACAATATTTAAAAAATAATTTCATATTCTTATATATATTATATTAACATATTCTTTAAAATATAAAGAATATGCTAATCTCGATAAGGCACACCATTGCACCATTATGAGAGCTCCAATGCCGTTAAATTAGAACAAACAAACAAATTAGAATTGAGTTAGTTGTTATAATTTTTTCTGAGAATCGTCATTTTTTTCTGGCACGCAGTTAATGAAATGAATGACTGGATGCAAATGATTGCAGCACACCTGCCATCGGCTTCAAGAGGAGTTGATCTACTCGACCATGCCAGCTATCAAGCTAGCATTGATGGTGAGATCGAGGAATATGGCGAACGGCTGTTATCATTTATTAATTCCTGTTTACACCTTGATTTAATTTCGCATTCGTTTATCCATTATTTATCCATCTATCCATCAATCCCTTCATTCATTCGTTCGTTCATTCAGCTGTCTATTTATTCATCTATCTATTGACTCATCCATCCATTTATCCATTCATCCATCCATTCATTTTCCACTTCCTCCATCTATACGTCCGCAATCTTAGAACCCATCCACGTATTCCTCCTCTGCACTCCTCTTCTTTCGTTCTATGGGGAATGTCAGATGATCGTCACACATGGAAATCTTTTACTATGTCATCCAAATGATCCGACGCAAACTTTCCTTGCCTGGCCTCTCACGTCAATCAAAAAATACACCTGCGATAAGGATAAATTCATCATGCAGACTGGAAGGTTGGTTGGCTGGCTAGCTGGTTGGTTGGTTTGTTGGCTGGTTGATTGGTTGGCTAGTTGGTTGGTTGGTTGGCTGGTTGGCTGGCTGGCTGGCTGGCTGGTTGGCTGGCTGGCTGGTTGGTTGGTTGGTTGGCTGGTTGGTTGGTTGGTTGGTTGGCTGGCTGGTTGGTTGGTTGGTTATTGGTTGGTGGGTTGGCTGAACTCACCATTCATATTATTGCAATCATATCATCAACATCATCACCATCATGATCAACATCATCAGCCTCATCATCGTCATCATAATCATCATCATAAACATCATCGTAATCATCATTACCGCCAGGTCCTGTAAGACAGGGGAGGGTCTGTTCATCTTTAACACGCGCATGGGGCCGATGATTGTCAAAAGAATCAAAGTCAGTTTTTTTAACCTTTCGAAAGTATTCAAGCCACTTCTGATAAATTATTGAAATTTATATTAAATTATTGGAAGGACGAGATTGCGGTGTAATGGTAAAAGCGTGTAGTCGCACACACACGCACACACACACACACACATACAAACACACAAACAAACACACACACACATGTTACAGTTATTATCAATATTACCAGCATCTTCATCATACTCAGTTGTCCTTATTATTACAACATAACTCCAATCAACAGGATGAAAGCACTAGGTCATCAATAGTATTACCACCATCACCGCTACCACTGCCACCACCGGAAGAGGGTACAGTCGCCGCATCATTTCGATCTAGATCCTCCATCGCTCGACCATCATTTGCGACGTCATCAATGACGTCATCGTCATCATCATCGTTTCGTTCTAACTATCCACTTCCGCCAATTCCACAAAGTTTGTTTATTTGGTGTTTTTGGTGTTTTGTTCAAAAATACGCTGGTAGGAAGATGTAAGAGTGAAGTGTAATCAATTTTTTGTAATTTCTTAATCATTTGAAACATAGTACGACCTTGATTGAACGTTTGTGTACATTGATCGCCTCAAAATTATTTTTTGCATCAACAGGTGGAATATATCTTTCCGTGAAGAGTGGCTCGTTCGGAAAATAACACACAAACACACACAGACAAACACACACACGCATACACACACACACATACCTACACATACACACGCACGCACATTCCCACGCACACATACAGACGCGGACTCTGCAAACAACGCGTACACAGGTTTCTACGGAAGTTGTCTTTATCTTCAAGATCTCTGCAGTTTTTTAATCACTTGCATTTACTACGTTCCAATTATTTTTTCCGAATATTTTTATTTTCAATACTAAATATCATTACTCTAAAAAAATCGTCACAACCAAATGGTGACATCATAAAAAAAAAACAAATAGTGAAGTAAAAAATTTTGCGAGCCATTTTAATTTTTTTATTTCTTTTAAACTGTTACTGCTTTGTGGCAAGGAAATGCAAAAATAGTCTATGCGGAGGATGAAGATTTGTACAAACTATCATTTCAGAAGCTAACGAAATTTCAAATCATTGTTTGATAACTTCTGACCGGATTGAACAGTGTGACATTTGTATTTAACCATTAAGTGCCTGCTGTGTAAAATATTCAAAATAACGTTTGGATGTCTATATGGCTGACCTCCAGATGACCTTTTGGGTGTCTTTATAACCTCCAGGTGACCTTTGGGTGTCTATATGACCTCCAGATAGCCTCTGAATAGTAGTTCATTAATCAATGAGCCTAGCTAAGTGAATCTGATTTAATTAACATTGGAATTTTGAATAAATAATCAAGTTTATTATGTATAACTATGCATTATATGTATGACTGGATTGCAGTATAATATTGATCTTATTGATTTTGAATAGTAAAAACGCATCATATTATATAACATCTTTAAATTTAGTTGACTATCCGTATATTTTAGTTAATGTATATCTATCTATCTATCTATCTATCTATCTATCTATCTATCTATCTATCTATCTATCTATCTATCTATCTATCTATCTATCTATCTATCTATCTATCTATCTATCTATCTATCTATCTATCTATCTATCAATCTATCTATCTATCTATCTATCTATCTATCTATCTATCTATCTATCTGTCTGTCTATCCTTCCATCTATCTCTCAATGACAATATGACGAGGAAAATATTACTTTTTTCATTTGCACAATAACCCCAGAGATATAACATACTCAAGCTCATTTTTAGATTTCAATTTATTTGTCGCCCTTTTGTAATTTAAAGAAATAAACTCAACTCTGAAATAGTTCATATCATATATGTTATATTTAGTAAAACACTCGTATCATGTACCTTAAGTAATGGCTAAGTAAAACTCTATGGCTATGATAGAACCATAAATATTACATAAAATTCTATGGTTCATGTCCCACATACTTTAAGTAAAACTCAATGGCTTATACCATATATCAATATATTAATAAAACATAACATATTTAGTGGGCTTAAACTAAATGGCTATACGTCTACATCTGATAAATATAAAGAAATGTACAGCAGATAAAAAGAAACAAGAGTTAAAATAGTTAATAGCGAATTTCGGCACAATGATTGTGATAAAAATTTATGTCAATCACGAATCTGTCTGCTGCAAACTTGCAAACTCGAACGTCTTTACAGTTTCATCATCAACATTGGCTAAGAAAAGTTTGTTCCACAGAGGCATTTCTGTTTGAGATATAATAAAACTATGGTTTTTATCATGTAAAAAAAATTTATGCATGCTAACAGTAGTTATTTAACAGCTTGTTAGTGAATTAGCCGGTATAATGGTTATATTCAATTCCTATCAAATAAATTTGACCTAGTATCATACGCAGGTAAAACTAAATAAAGAAATAAATAGTTATATGTAGTTTTAATACATTTATAATGTTATATTTACACATTCAAATTGAACAAATGTGTTATGGTGTAGTCTCAAATTATTTTGAATACTCTCAGAAAAATTTAACTATATATACTAGTTACTTTTAGAAAAATTTTAAAAAACTTTTCAAACTATGTGTGTGCATATGTGTGTTATACAAAATATATGTGTAATGTGTATCTATCTTTGATACTTAACACAAGTGTTATTATAACCACATATACACACACATACGTTTGTTGACCGTGATTCGTTGATAACAAGCAAGCATTATCACATCGTTTATCAAAAAAGTTTTCGAGTTTGTGTGTATGTCTTATACTAGAACACCTACCTACACAATCTAAAGATAATATCAGTCTAATTTTCTTATTAATTGACAGGTCATCTGCCGAATTGAATGAGATTATTTATTTGTAAAGGCGTATGTTTTAAAATCTACAAAGTAAAAAAGATTCAAGACGTCTAAAAAGGCATCAAAAAATTTATATTTTCAACAATGTTATTCACGTAAATAAAAAAAAAAACACCACAAAGTATAAATACTGGAAAGCAGCATATATAAGGGGACAGCTCGCTCATGTCACCGCCCGAATGAACTTCGGTGGTCCGGAGTGCAGGCTTCAAACCTGTAGCCGATTAGCGTCGGAGTGGTTCAATTCCACCTTTCGGGCGTTATTTCGGTGTTTTTTTCATTTTTAGAGTTTTTTTTACGTTAATTAAACTTTGATATTCCAACCTTTTTCATTAATTTGGGAAGGATTGCTAGTCTTTCACCGAAAAATAATTTTTGGTAAAGTTTAAGGTATCTGCAAGCCAAATTGTTCCTCGGATCAAATGCCTCTATTGTTTTTTATGGCAGCTCTCTGACCTGCCCCTCAGGAAATGTTAGGTTTTTTGACGTAAGATGCGTAAATTTTGTAAAATTAATTACTAAATAATAAATGTAGATCCAAATTTTGATACAAATATCAACTTTGTTTCAAAATCGAAAAAAAATCGAAAATCTATTTTAAAATACCGATCAGCCCATCACTGAAAAGCGCCAATTTCTAATTTTGTTTTGAGGGCAATGTTTGAATTGGAATTTAAATTTGGTTACATTTTTTGGCTTAATTTTAATCTTATTTTATAACAAAAAATGTTTTTTATATAGGGCGGAAATATTTTTTCAATTCAATTTTTAAATTTTTCATCTCCTCCCTCCTTAAATTAGCACCAGGTACTAGTACTAATTCCTAATTTCAATTCCATCAGCCATTGATGCTTGTTTGTATTTACTGGATTAAGAATATTATTGAAGTAATGTTTTGAAAATAAGAGTAACATTAAAGTATTTAAAACCGAAAACACAGGCAAGACGTAAAAAATGTCATCATCATCAGTTTTCACAATCAGCAGCTATCTAGTATTGCTGATGTTACTAGTTGCTAAAACATTTTTTTTAATTTAATTTTTTAGCTCTTACTAAAAGTAAAAAGCAAACTGGTAACTAACTAATTAATTAATGATAAGTTAGTACAAGGTACTGGTACAAACTGACAATGTGTTACGAGTTATTTATTGTATGTATTTTTAAAAATATAAAGTTAATGTTTTTTATTGTGAATGGTCACAATTAATAATACTAAAACTGTTGTGTGTCATTTATGTTTGTTCCTTGTCTAATATGATGCCTAATGATGAATATAACATCCTTGCTCTCAAATGTTTCACATACACGTGTGTGTAAAACGATGAAGACAACTTAACTAGCCAACCATCATGAATGTCTGACCAGTTGGTCGGTGCCTGATGGAACTGAAGGCATCTTATCATTGAATAAAACTGATATATAATATATTAATTAATGTGTATGTGTGTGTGTTTCTGTATGTGTGTGTTTATCTGTGTATGTGTGTGTGTGTGCGTGTGCAAAAATAATTGTTATACACTCAACATTTTGACCTCTTTTACAGTTGTTTCATTAAGCCAACTGCCTGCCCTACAATCAACAACTACATCAAACAGTTCCTCATCATCAAGTTCCTACATCAAAAAATTCCTGTGGACTTAGCTCGTATCATCAGACTCAGCAGTTCATCTTTAAAACTCCTGTATTATTAATTCAGCACCACCAACATGCTATCGGACTTTTCAATCTTCGGAGAGGAGGAGCCTATGAAGTTAAACGATTCCTTCAGAGATATTCAAAAGAGATTAGTTTTTGATGCAGAGGTAGAAAGATTGAAAGTTTATCTCAAAATTAAACCTTTTGAATCGGAGCAAGAAAGTGATCAGGTGAGTAAAGTTTATGATGTTGTGCTGTGATGAAGATGACAATGACAACGTGATTAGGATTGTGATTAGGAGGATGATGATGATGATAATGGCCCTATTAAACTAATTCCAGACTTCTTATCGTAATTAATAATTACCAACCAAACATTCAGAAATACATGGTCGTAGAGACAGACGAATCCCTGGTTGTTCACCCCCTGAAAGATCCGTTGCCGCTGCCCCCACAATTTGGAGGTCAACCCCAAGTTGGGGCTACCCGCAATTTGAGGTCTGGGGTCCTGTTTAATCATCCTCCCCAGTCTTCGTTAAAATTTACATTCTCCCGAATATTCAACGAGAAAACTTCACAAAAAGATTTTTTTGATCTAGCTGTCCAAGACACCATCAAAGAGTTCATAGATGGTCAGAATGCCCTGGTGTTTGCTTATGGGGTGACCAATTCGGGCAAAACTTATACCATGCAAGGTTTGCGGTCGAAATTGGTGGTGTATGGGATCATCATCATCATCACTATTTTTATTATTATTGTTATTATCAAATTAAGAAAATGCCAATCAAAAACATCTCAAAATCTCTCTCAAATGAAATTAATCGAGACAATAATTGGCGTAATATGAACGAGTCGAAAGGTAAACCAGGGACAGAGATGAGTTGATGTTGCTGTTAATGTTGTTTGTAATTTTTTTGGTTCCAGATGATGTGGTGACCATTTTTTGAATGGCAGCATCCCAATTCTCTTTTTTTCTAGATCAATGTGACCTCCCTCTAACCCACAGACCACTAACTTCACTTAACGTGTCACCAATGATTTTTTTATTACACCACGTACGAAAATGCACCTGAGACACCACCCACAAAGCTGCACTTGACACAACACAACTTGACACACGCAGTAAGACACACACACACACACACAACAGGAACACCATCAGATGGTGGAGTTGTACCTCGAACTTTCGACGTGATCTTCAACAGCATTGTCGATCGACAGTACAAAGAGGGTGATCTAAGGCCAAAATGTTATTGCGACGTCGAAAAGTTGGATGAGGAAGAAGTGGCCAGAGAAAAAGTGAACAAGGAGGTCATCTTGAGACAGGTCAGCAAGAAGTGATGGTGGGGTCATATGTGTGGGGTAAAGGTAGTTGATTGGATGAATGGATGCATGCATGCATGCATGCATTGGTAATGTAACTGCACCGATGGTAGTGAGTGACTGTGGGATAGATGTTGATGATGAAATGTGATTGATGATGCTGTAGTAGTGGTATTGCAAATATAATCTATGATATTAATGTTTTCTTTGTGAATTTAATTTAGATTTTTGTGTGCTTTTTTGTAATTTTAAAGAAGCAGACGACGATAAAGTTATCTCCCAAAGCCAGCAGCACTGATGTCTCCTCCATGTCTCGGATAAACGTGACGTCATTTAGAAACAGTTCGTTAATGTCACTGTTGATGATGTTATCAATTCTTCGCTGACGCCTGCGTAGTATGTTGAAAGTTGATGGTGTGGTGTCAGTATTGCATGCTGTTGTTATTGATGTAACGAGTTAATGATGTTGCTTTCTACTACTTTCTACGCACACACACGCACGTGTCCACTCCACCAGCAACCACAAACGACTCGACTATGAACGAGACATCGGGCACCAATCAGCAGCAACTCTCAACCTGCACCGATGACCTAACAATGAACGACGACGAGGTCTCGACAGTGGTTGCCAACCGTCGCCGGGAAGAGGGCACGGTTGCTGTGGCCGCCTCGAGACACGTCATGTATTCAGTCTGGGCAAGTTTCGCGGAGATATACAACGAGCAGGTGTTTGATTTGCTGGTACCTCCTCCATTACCACCAGAGGACAACAAAAAAGCCCGCAAGAGGAATCACCCTCACGCCAATAAGAAGGTGCCATTCAAAACGGCAGGCGGCTGCAATGGGGCAGGGTACAACAAAGGTGGCAACAATAATAATAACAATAATAATAATAATAACAACAGCCGAAGAGAGAGAGCGTGTCTGCAAGTTAAGGAGGATATGCAGGGCAGGCCATACATCAATGGCGAGTTTTTTTTTATTATTTTTTTCCATTGTGAAAAAGAGAGTGCTGACGATGGTGTGGCTCAGATTTCATTCCACAAAGGGTTTTAATTTTTAGTGTACAGGGCTCTTGTTGAAACTCAGGCTGTTGCTTCTGACGTGACCTTGACAAAATTTTAATAAATGACCTTATTATGCGTACCATACATGACGCAGTTAAATATTTCATTTAAAGGTTCAATTAATATTCATATGGATGAATGAATGAATGAATGGATGAATGGATCCAGGATTGAGGGAAGTGAATGTGATGTCAGCTGATGAGGCGTTTAAGTTGTTGGCACTTGGACAGCGAAATCTTCAAATGGCCTATACGAGGATCAATGAGACTTCATCAAGAAGGTTTGTTGGTTGGCTAGTTAGTTGGTTGGCTAGTTAGTTGGTTGGTAGATTGACTGGTCGATTGATTGGCTGGTTGGTCATAACATCTACATAAACCACGTCAACAATGTTTGCAGCCACTGCATTTTCACCTTGAAACTCATAAAAGTGATAAGGACAAAGAACGATGAGATCAGATATGGCCCATGCAACATGTTAGTTGGTTGATCGTCTGTTTGATTGATTGGTTGGTTGATTGTCTGGCTGATTGGTTGGTTGATTGTCTGGCTGGTTGGGTAATTGAAATTGTTTGAAATATTTTCTTGGTTTCATTGCTAGAAGATTGATTGTTTGTATGTTAGTTATAGAAATTAACAACATACGCTAACGTCTGCAGTCGTCACATCAGCCAGCAGACAAACAACAAACAGACAAACAAACATTGGACAAACAACAAACAAACAAACCTCACCAGCTTGTCATTATGCGACCTGGCTGGCATAGAAAGAAGTTACAAGACACAGAACGTTGGAGACCGAATAAAAGAGTCGGGCAACATCAACAACTCCTTGTTCGTTCTCGGAAGGTGCATCCAGGCCATCAGGAAGAACCAGAGCAGTACTGGACCGGGGTTCGTTTGGTTTTGTTGGAATAGCGATCAGGATGAAAATGATGATGATGATGGATGAAAATGATGATGATGGACGAAAATGATGATGATGTTGGTCAGTCATACTAACCTATCATGTCTTCTAGCTACCCCCAACTTAACTCTTAATTCGACAAAAACCTCACACCGGCTAACACCGGCATACACAGAAACACTTCAAACCCATTAACGCTACCTAACAGTGAAAACACACAACATCCAACACAGGGACAACCAGATTCTACCGCCATTTCGCGACAGCAAACTGACTCGCCTCTTCCAGCCGTATTTGAACGGCCGGGGTCGGGCCAAGATGATTGTGACGGTCAGTCAGTGTAGAAGCATGTACTCCGAGAACATCAATGCCATCAAGTTCTCGGCTGTTGCTAAACAGGTTTGGGAAACCTGTGTTTATGTGTGTTGGAGGAAGAGAGAGATGAGAGATAAATTGATAATTTATTTTCGAATTTTCGCATTTCTAACCGCAGATCACGCTGCTCCCGACCATTAATGTCCCGCTGGAACCGCCCCCGCCCCCAGTGGAAGAGGAGCCAAAGAAATTGACACGATTGACAGTTCAGTGGGCCTCTGCAAGTTAGTTTCTTGCATGATAGATAGATAGATAGATAGATAGATAGATAGATAGATAGATAGATAGATAGATAGATAGATAGATAGATAGATAGATAGATAGATAGACAGATAGACAGATAGACAGGTAGACAGGTATATAAATAGATGATCAATTTGATAGTTGAATAGCTGTTGAAGTGGAATGGATATTTGAAATGGTTGGTTGGTTGATTGATTGATGGAAGATGATATCTTTTAAACGTTTCAAATGAGATTTTCATTGCTCCATTCATAAACTTCTTCATTCACTGTCATCTTCTTTCGTTCGTTCGTTCATTCATTCATCCAGGCGAGATAAAACGAGAGAAGGCAAAACCTGTCCAGCTTCCAGCCATGCTAGCAGGTGTCAGTGCTAGAGATGATGATGGTGACAGGACGATCAACAACAATGATGATGAGGACGATGGGGAGAAGGAAGATGACGATGAAGATGACGATGAAGATGAAGAGCCTTATGATTTGGAAAAGAACTTCTTTGATGTGGGTGGTGAAAAAAAAACTGGTGTTGATGGCTATGATGATGATGAGGAGGATGATTATGATGATGATGGCATTTTTTTATAGCATTTGGTGGTGATGACGTTGATGATGATGAGGATGATTATGATGATGATGGCATTTTTTTATGGCATTTGGTGGTGATGATGATGATGAGGATGATTATGATGATGATGGCATTTTTTTATGACATTTGGTGATGTATAATGATGGACTTCGTTTCCTTCTACATTTATAACAACATCAAAAACAACAACAACATCATCAACAACAACAACGCCATAAAAACCACACAACAACTTTCTAAACATGCATCCAAGCCACAACGTTATTATACGGTCAGTAGCGTCATCATAATCAATAGCATCATCATAATCAGTAGCATCATCATCATCATAATCAGTAGCATCATCATCATAATCAGTAGCATCATCATCATAATCAGTAGCATCATCATAATCAGTAGCATCATCATCATCATAATCAGTAGCATCATCATCATCATAATCAGTAGCATCATCATCATAATCAGTAGCATCATCATCATCAGTACTTGCAACCACACGTCACCACAATAGTTAGCGGAGTACGCTAAAAAGTTGGAGAAGACGTTGAAGGAAAAGGATGAGACCATAAAGAGGATGGAAGTGGCGAGAGAAGAGCAGGCAGAAAAGCTGCAGAGGATGTATCAGTGAGTTGGTTTTTTGAGGAATGATTCGATGAATGAATAAATGAACGAACGAATGAATGGAGGAATGAATTAGTGGAAGAATGAATGAGTGGAGGAATGAATGAACTAACGAATGAATGAATGGAGGAATGAATGAGTGGAGGAGTGAATGAATGAGTGGAAGAATGGATTTGTCAGTAGTTGTTTGCTAGTAAGTGAATGTAACTGTCTATAATGGAGGCTGATTGTCATCGTTAATCAAGATTTTACCGCTGTATTGTCACTAGCATTTCCACCATCTCCATCATCTTCTCACCATCTCCATCATCCTCTCACCATTTTCATCATCTTCCCAATCATCATCATCAGTAAACAATTGGAAGAGAGAGAGTTGACAAATGAGTACTTCACTGAGAAGAAGATAGACAACATTGTCGACTTTTATGAAAGAAAGCTAAAGAAAAGGAGATACAATCAAGATGATGATGACGACGACGACGATGACGAAGGTGGTGGTGGTAGCGGTGACGATTACGACGGCGATGCAGAGGACAGCTTCTTCCCGCGTAACAGTAGAGTAAGTTGTGGTGAGGGTGGTAGCGGTACTGACTGATTATTGTGGCTATGGTGTCTCTGATGTCTATGGTGCTTCTCATCTGTCTGTCACTCAGTTTTATTTTTCTCTACTCCAACAACGTCTTCAGATGATTTACATTTGAAATAATCTCAGATCTTTACCTCATTTAGCCGTCTGCTTTTGAAATTTAAACACACACATTTTAAACGTACACACATACATACCAACACATAAACATGAATCAATATTCATTGATTTAAACACACGTACGTACGTACATACATCACATATATATCCACACACACACACACACGCACGCACAAATGCATCACCCAGCAACACAAGCAGTGTAATGAGAAGATAGAGGGACTGCAGAAAGATATTGGAAAGTGGAAGGATGACTTTTTCATGCTGAGTAGAGAGATGGAACAGTTAACTGGCAGATTCAGGTATTAGCTATCCTAGCGAAATTGAAATTGTTCGTTTAAATTAAGTTGAGTTAAATTTCGTAATTTATACATTTCTGAAGAAGTTTATTTTAATTTTTTATAAGTTAACTTTATTTCCAATTTAAATTAATTCCTCATGCTTTGCTCTTTCAGGCAGGTCGAGATGGAGGCATCCAATGATAGGATGCTTGCCTACGAAAGAGAGTGCAATCTTCAAGAAATTGTTAGTCGCATCTGTATTTTTGCTGCTGCTGCTGCTTTTGTAGTGGCGATTGTGGCGGTTGTGGTGGTGGCGTTGTTGGTTGTGGCTGTCGATGATAGCTCTTTAGATTTTATCTAATGCCATTTAGTTTTATGCTGCTGACAATGATTATTATCATTATTATTATTATTGCTGTTATTATTGTTATTATCTTGTTCACAGATAAAGAGGCAAGATGAAGCTTACCTGGAGAAAGTTTGTTGATGTTGTTGTTGTAGTTGATGGTGTGATGTTGTTAGTGTTGTTGATGTGATGTTATTGTTTGTTGCTAGTGTTGTTGATGTCATGCGGTTACTGCTGTTGATGTCGTGTTGTTAGTGCTGTTGATGTTATTGTTGACGTAGTTTCAATTCATATTCTCCAAAAAGATTTTACCATTACCGATAGGGATCACGTAATCGTTGTTTGTCGCCTAATCATTCAGGTCAAAAAGCAGGAAGCTGAAATAGAGCAGCTGAAATCGCAGCTTCAAGCAGACGTTGCAAAGCAGCAGCAGCAGCAACAACCGCCACTGGGGAAAAGATGTAGCTCTTGTGGCCTGGCTAAGTCAGCTGCCAACAATATGATCAATTCTACTACTGCTGCTGCTAATGGGGATGACGACATGGATGAGGAAGAAGAAGAGGAAGTAGAGAATGATGCAGTTGGTGGAAATAAAGCAATCAAACTGCAAAAGTATTTCAACGACACGGTGCACATCTATGATGAAGATGATGATGGTGAGGACGGTGGCCTTGCTGGTGGTACAGCTGGTCATGATAAGAGAGAAAATTTTTTTGAAAATGTTACTAATAACAAATCATCAACACCCAATAGCCCCCCCAATAACGACGACGATGATGAAAATGTTAGTCCTACTACTAATCCTAACCCTTATCAGCATCACATCATTAAAATCCATGATGAAGATGATGATGGTGACGACGACGACGATGATGGCGTCGGTGATTCTACACAGCCTTACATCTTATGCAAAGATAAAAACCTTCAGATAAGCTCGTACAAGTTCATAGATGATGATGATAGTGCTAGAGATGATGATGGTGATGGTGATGATGGTGGTAGGATGGATAAAAATGATGATGGTAATAAGGAGGAGAGAGAGAAGGCGAGTTGTGGTGAAAAGAAGTTGCGTGATGGTGATGAAGACGACGATGATGATTGCAGAAGGAAGGATGTTTCTCCTGATTCTGCATTCAACATTGAGGATGTGAATGGCAACAACAGGATCAATGTAAATGATATTAGTGATAAAATTTACGATGAGGATGGTGATGAAGATGACGACGACGACGATGAGAGTGAGGTAAAGAGAAACATGAAGCCATTAGAGATGATATCGAATCGGGTTGATTCAACTGCAACATGTGATTCCACATTTTTTGACAGTCTCTCATCAACTGCAGCGACTACATCAGTAGCTGCAGCAGCAACCACAGCAGCAACCACAGCAGCAACCACAATCATAACAGCAACTGATCCAGCTACTAATTCAACGATTTATTATGCTCCCATGACGACAGCAACGACATCAACCAATGACATCAATTCAATAAAAGCAACAACAGATCATATCAACGTGACAACAGTAGCAGTATCTAGCATCAATAAAACATTATCAGTGACGACAACAACTACTACAATAGCAACAACATCAGCAGCTGCAACAACAACCACAAACCTTAATGAACCAGACTGTTTCCAGTTCTCGGTTCCTTTACTTCCGACGACATCAACCCGATCTAGCAAGCTGAGACTCAGGTCGAAAAATAGGCGCTCCAAAAGTGAGGAGGATGATTTTCAACAGGGAAACTACAACATTCAATCAGCAGTTGCGGCAGCAGCGACAACATCGTCACCCCATCGCGCGACGAGACTAAACGAAATTAGTGTTAAATCGTTATCTAGAAAATCATCAAAAACTTTGGAAGAACGTAATGCGGTGGAAGAATTATGCGTGCAAACGTGCGTCAGCACTAGAGCTTCTTCCAGGCTACGACAACAGCAGCAGCAGCAGCAACAACCACAGCATACCTCAAAACAGCAGAAGATTACGAAGTTACAAAGTAGCAATAATGGCGAAGCCACTCAAAATAGTAGTTACGAAACATGTAAACAGGAAATGGATTGTAAAGAGAATATCGTCCAGGATACGACTGGTGAGTAAAAGTGACGATGAAGATGCGAATGGTGATCATGAAGATGATCATGTCATTGGTGAAAGCTAGCTATAGTAGTGATGGGTTTTAGGGATTTTTGTTCATTTCTACATGGCAAATTTTTCCACCAGCATGTTTCGTCTTCATAAAATATCATTTCCTCAACCGTATATCCTCAAACACTGCCATCATTGTTGCAGTATCATAATTTTTATCATGAATAAAAATAAATTCCTTGATTACAATTCATCTCACACTTCATCACCATCATCATCGTCATCATCCTCATTACATCATACAGTGAGTAGGCAGAGAAGAAGGAAGAATCTGATGTCTCTAACTGATCAGGGTCTTCTTAACTCTCCCATTCAACAGGTCTGTCTGTGTTTCTTTGTGTCTGTCTGTCTGTCTGTGTGTGTGTGTGTGTGTGTGTGTGTGTGTGTGTGTGGTGTGTCTGTATGTGTGTCTGTCTGTCTGTGTGTGTGTGTGTTTCTGTACAACTTAATGTCAAGCTTCGTTTAAATGGATTGATTTTATCATAGTAACAAATGATAAAGGTGAATCGTAATGATGATTGTTATTGATAGTGATAACGACGATTGCGAGAATGATGATGATGACGGTGATAATGAAATGGTGATAATTTTTACTCAAAAGCAGGATTCGGCGAGTTCAACAGCCGGCAAAACTCTGAATCGTTCTGAAAGTCCCTTGAGTACAATCAAAAAAACATTGGCCCAGCTCAAATGATGTGTTTGCGTGTGTGTGCGTATGTGTGTGTAGCTGGTGCGTACATATATTATCATACTTGGAAGTATTTTTCTATATGTATATGTATATATATATTGATATGATTAATATTCTAACCGACGTTTTTCTTTGGATATATAATTATAGATTGCGTTTTTTAATTAATTGATTAATCAATTAGTTGGTTATTATTATTTAGTTTTTCAAATGTCAATTTTTTTTATTATTATTATCATCATCATTATTTGTGTTTATCTCTTTGTTTTTCATTAATTTTCTGAGGTAAAAGATTTCTGTGCATGGATTGTGATGATTAATGCGGTCCAATTTTAATTTATACTCTAGTTAGTTTAAAAACGCAAGTGAAAACTGTGGTGTAATTTTTTAATGGTATGGTAGATAGACTTTAGGGTTCTGCCTGGTTGCATTGTTGGACATTGATCTATGAAAAAAAAATTCTTTATCATCGTAACTCTAACAATAGTTTCATTTTTATTATTTTCTTGCGTTTTTAATTTGCTCAAATGATTAGAAAATTAAAAATTGAACTTTAGAGGCTGGATTCTTATTTCAACCACCTACATAAAATATTTCAGCCGGCTCTGTCTTGGCTCACATTACATACATTCACACTCGTACATAAACACGTGAGATTTTGTCTGCAAGTTACTACTTTTTCTGTTTTGTTTTTCTTTTCAGCTGACAGATATTATTTTCTATTACTTTGAGGTTTTATTAGAATGGAAAATGTTCGTACATTCGGCAGAACTATCAGACATAAAGTTGAATTTTCGAACAAGAACAATGGACATGCTGTCATCTTTGCTGTTACATACTGTATTTAAATGTTGCGTTCCTACAGTCACAAATGTATAAATTAGATGGAATCATATGTATATGAATGGTACATGTAGACTGAATCGGCATTAAAAAGCACGCAATACTAATGTAGAGTTATTATAATGATGTATATATGGTGATTTATGTTAGAAGTATATGATACAAACGACGATATGGAAAGAGTTCCTTGCTAAATTAGGATTTACTGCCAATACAATCACTGACGTCAGGGTGCTTATGGATCCATTTGGAACCTTTCACAATCGAACGTGCGACATTAAGCTTGGTGCATAAAAAATAAACCAACCTATAAAATATTTTGAAAACATCTTTTTTATACTTTAGTTCGTTTGTCTTTGAATGTTTTATTAAATTTATCTAATCAATGTTATCGTTTTGTTATTTTAGTTTAATTATTTAAAAGTTCCATTTTTATCTCGTTTGAAAATGATGGTTAGGGAATCTGGTTTCTCCTCCGGCGGTGTGAACTTGCGAAGTAACGCGTCGACATCAGCAGCAACTACTACATCCACCAGCAACAAACACGGACCGACGTACACGGGCGAGAACAAGAGAACTAAGATGGCGTCCAAATCCAACAAGAAACTTATCCGTCTGGCTACAGTCCTCGCCTACGTACTGGCCGTCTCTCTGGCCGCCATTGTCCTCGCCATTTACTACATTTTCGTCTGGGATCCTAACACTAAACATCCGCAGCTTCATCAACAGCATCACCAACAGCAGCAGAAAACTAATGAAAATGGCGGGATTTCTTTACTGAATGAGAAAGCTAACATTGGTAGCATCATCGATCATAGTAATCGAGGCAACAAACTTCATGGAAATGGTCATCATGACAATGAGAGTTTTTTAAATCTGCACCTAGGTAAATAAGACCTAATTAACTGTTTAATTTATTTTAGGTTTTTTATTTTCAATAAATCTATCATTATAGAAGATGGTGCAATATTATTTTTGTAGTTTATTCAAATTTTGAAAATGGAGGAATGGCTTTTATTCAACTTTTATTTGTGTATGTATGTATGTATGTTATTGTATGTTCTTGTAGTTATTTTTAGTATAAAAAAATGAATATTCATAAAATTCTTACCCAGAGTTGACCAATGAAACAGATGTAGTTGACCACTTCACTGCTAACGACAACAACAATGAGCAAATGAACCAGGCAAATAACTCCACATGGTACGATCACCGCAATTTGACTGTCAACATCGACAAAGGAGAAATCAAAAATTAAATCTTGAAAACATTAAATCAAGAAAAATTTATTGTTCTCTGTTAAATAAGGATGATTTTTGTTGAAGAAATTTTATATTGTAGGTGATAAATATGTACTGATTATGTAACATGCTTAATCTTTGTATTTTTATACATTTTCAGTGTTTTGAGGTTTTTTGTACTTGCTAGTACAAACATTTGCTGGTAATTAAACACCTAAGTACTACTAGACAATGTTTTCATTATACATATTCTGAAGAGAACGATGATGATGATGAGAATGATGGGGGTGAGGATGATGAGAATGATGATGATGAGGCTGATGATGATGACACAACAATTGAATTTTTACAATTTTTACCAAAACAGATTTCTAGTCAATATATTTATCATTTGTTGTTGTCGGTGTTGTTGTAGCTAGTTTGATTTAACTTTGGTTGATATTAATAAGCTTTATTTTTTGACGCGAATTTGTGATTTTTTTTCTACTAAATCTATTTTAACGCGTACATTACCTTGCATTTATTTATTTTAAATTTAAATTTTACAGTAATTGAATTATTCCGTATTTTTGTCAAATTATTTTTATTAAATAATAATTAGTCATTTGAAAAGAGCCCTGTATTGTTTTATATTTTTAAGAAAGCATTATTTTTAATACAAAATTGTATAACGCTATATTTACCAATTATGAATGTTCTTGATATTTGTTTATTTATATGATATATTAAATTGAATTATTTATATTCAAATATTTATATAAACAATTTATGAATGGGAGAATATTATATTTCAATATAGTAGCGTTCATGTTTTAACTTTCAATCATTTAGTTCTTGTTCTCTGGTACTACAGCACTTTTTAATTTATTCTACGTACACACACACAAACACACACACACACAGATACACATTTATATATATATATAAAATATTTACATTTGTGATGAATCTTTTGAATATTAGTTATATTGTTGTTGTAGCGTTGTCGTATTTCGCACAATTTTTAGGATATATTTTATTAATTATAATTTATTAGGCATTCAATTATCGTAACAATCAACCCGATGGAACCTAATCATTATTTTTAATTCTTCAAAAACTTATATCTGATTTTTATTAAGATTTTATTCCTTATTTCCTCATTTTTTTTCTAATTTTCAACTTCTTAAATGTCGTACTATTGTGTCTTCAGAAGGTTTCAATAAACTTTAACGCGTTATTTTTCTGGTGATATTTAAAAAAATTTCAAGTTTATTTAAATAGAATTTAGCATTATTTTTCGTTACTTCGGTTTTGTTCTACCGTCTGTATTTAATGACTATATAACTAAGAGGTGAGCACACTTTTTGCCGTGAGGGCCTGCATTGAGAACAATTCGATTACGTCAAGAATTCGATGACGTCATAAGTTACCTTTTCCGGCAAAATCCGAAACAAAATGTCTTAACATGAAGTACTTAGGCTTCCTCTACTAACTAAAGTTAATTTTTTTTTAAAGTGAAATCGATAATGTCATCATTCTTATAAGATGCGAAACCTTAAAAAGTTAAATTTTTATTTATTTTAATAGGTTTTTTGCAGTCTCCTATCATTGCTTGGTCGTCAGTGCTATAAACAAACAAGACAAGTAAACGTCGGGTGAGGCCTGCTTTCTCTATTTATAAGATTTGTATAAAAATACACAATTATTATAAATATTTATCAAAAAATTATATCATTGATAATAGAGATAGTCCTCTCTCTTTCTCTCTCTCTCTCTCTCTCTCTCTTTTTCTAAATATTAAGTTGTAATATAGACAAATTTAAATCATCCGCATTATTCTTTATAGATAGATCTATCAATTAGATTAGATGGATTAATTTAATTAACTGAATAGCAGTGAGCGTATTGAAACTTGAAAAAATTATCAAACTAGTTAATTATTAATAAAATTTGCTTATTTAAGAGTACAGAAGAACCACTCACAATGCTGCTACTGTATTGTCAACTACTTGCTTATGTCATCTTCGATCAGTGTGGTTCAGTCGCCTCAAAACCAACCAGAGCTTTTGAATTCATGAAAAAAGTTTGTCTTAACTATGCCATTGTTTCGTCAAACTAACCTTTTTTAAAGAAAATTTTCCTATTAGTCTGGTAGCTATGTGAAATTTCGGTTTTGAGATTGCCCTGTGCATCGTGTGTCTGTCGTTTAACGATTTGCTGGTATGAAGTGCGGCCTTAATGGGAATCTCCATGAAAAAACTTTTGAATAATGATCGTGATTGAACTATAGTACATCATTATGACGCGAACACTTCTTGATCAACGTTCAAACTCAATTACTGTTCTTCATTTATTCTGTATAATTAACTGTCGGCTAATAAAAAAACCGTTAATTTTGTTTTTTACGCACCAACACAACACAAACAACCGTAACAAATCCTCCTTCCCTACTAAGCCACGACCCAAAACATCATTTCCCCCAACAAAACAGGAGAACGTAAGAGGAAAAGGAAAGTTGAAATACAATTTTTTCGATCCATCGGAAACAGCGGCAGAGGTCAATGAAGAAGATGAGAAGGACATGGTCGACAAACTTCTCAACTTTTCGCCTGCCAACTTCAAACCTGTTCAAGTCACACATGCTGTACCATTTCTTTTCGATCAGAAGGTATTTCTCTCTCTCTCTCCTCTCTCTCTTTTTCTCTCTCTTTTGTTTTATCTCTTACTACCTCTATTTATACGAGAAAAAACGGTGTAGCGGTAGAAAGGCGCTTAGTTCTTCGTTGCAGTGAGAGGGTTCGAACGCCATAAAGTCCTCGTCGTCATACATAATGCGTCTGATTCTCTGTTAGATATTGCTCTTCCCAACGCACGATTTCAATTGGCAGCAGACTCTTTAGATTTACATTCTGAATAAAACAATGTTTTGGATGAGTTCCCGCATATAAACGCTACGATAAACAAGTATATAACATCAACAAAATAAATCAGATTACCAAAAAAGATGGCCACTACCGACAAAACCAACAGCCCAGAGAAGCGGACGAAGTAGTGGACAAATGGACAATCGCCTTGCTCATTTTGCTGTTCGGAGTGGTAGTGGCTGTCTTGTTTCTCATCATGTATTCCATTTGTCTCCTGTCTGATTCACTGCCGGTCGTTGTCCTGACTATGGCCATTATTTTATTCATTGCCGGCTCTGTTATATCTTTGCTGTGGTTTTTTAAAATCGTTTGATGTGACGAAGTTTTATTGAGTTATCTGTCTGTCTGTGTGTGCGTGTGTGTGTGTGTCAATATTATTTTTATTTTATGTGTTAGAGTTTCTTGGTTTTATTGCAGTTCCTAATTCTTCGGTGAAGTTATATCTATTTAATTTTAGTGAGTTTTCATTTTATTAAAACGAAAATTTAATTAATTCAAAGCTAAAAATAAGTTATATATAAAATTGAGATACGCTCGCGCGCGCGCACACACACACACACACACACACAACTTATTTATAATTCTCGTCACCATCGTCATATTCACAAACATTATCATATCAATGAACCATGTATGTCATCGTCATTATTAAAGACGTCATCTTCATCATCATCTTCATCATCATTTTCATCATCTTCATCCTCATCCTCTTCGTCATCATCTTCATCATCATCATCTTCTGCCGGAAGTAGTAGTGATGGGCAATCTATCGTCATAAATGGTGGGGGCCTTCATGATTATCCCTATGGTACCAACGACGCACGTGCAACTGAAGATGAAGAGGAACAAACGATCCAGGACCCTGGCCACTAATTTCCAATCCTCACGAATCTGATGATGATGGTGATGGTGTTGATGATGATGATGATGCTGACGGTGGTGGTGATGATGATGATGGTGATATGATGATGATCAAGCTGATGACGATGATGGTAATGGCGGTGACTATATTTTAAATTTAACGATGATAGCTGCTGAAGCAAAAAACAGCAACAAAATTGAAAGTAACAGTAGATGTACTGTAGTAACAACAACAAAAAAATGACACTAACGACAATGACACTAACTTCAATGACGTTAAAAAAATGACACTAACAACACTAACGTTTGCGCCTTCGTCTTCATCGACCATGTGCCTGGCGACAAACTCGGAACTCTTCATGAACTGCCTCATAGGTCGCTGCCCTGATAAGTTGTTCTTACGGGTCGTTTGGTCGCTGGTTTGTTGTGGCGCGGCTGTTGCTGCTGCTGCGTCGCTGGTGGCTGTGACATCATCGTTGTCATTGTTTACGTAGGAGGCTGTATGAACATTGGCCGTAGGTTCTTTTATGTTTGAAATTTTTTCGATTCTAAACATGGGACTTCCGGGACATTTTTGTATTTTTACGTTCTGATGATGAAACTGCTGTTGCAATGTTGCCGGCGACCTAGTTCGTCGCTGCAATCGTGAAAGTTGTGCCGACGATGACGTCATTGTTGCTGTTGTTAGTGAGGTTTGCTGTAGTTGTTTTCGTCGAAAACTGTTTTTCTTTGAGTAGCCCCAATTTGATGAGATGCCCCCTGCTCCTGAGGAAGCCAAACTCCCACCCCCCAAGTAACTGCGGGTCACGTTGATGAGAAGCGGGTATGAAGACAGTGTCGTCGCTGTTGTTGCTTCTGTCGTCGTCGTGTTCTCTTTGCTGTGAATTGGAAATAATTGCGGTGCATGTTGTTGTTGTTGTCGTTTGCGTCGATACTGTTGTTGGAGTTGGTTTAATTTTGCGACGACTTGTTCATGCTGACTCTGCAGTCTTTTATACTCCATCTCTTGCCAGCTGTTTTTATGGAACCTGCCAACTGCTGCTGTTGCTTGTGACGTCATGACGTTGGAATCTGAATCTACATTGAACTCATGGTCGTCCGGTACATAATTTACATTTCTTCCCGTGACGTCATCCATGATGTTGTAAACGTTTTTATTCAATGGCTCCAGTTCACTGACATCGCCACTCAACTCCTCCTCAGACGATTCATTCCTAGTAGCGGCGTCACAAAACTTTTTATCCTGCAGACCGAGCAGTCGGGACAGGACGCGAAGGAAGAGGATTCGAACCCAGACAGGCATCGTGTGGGCGGACGCCGACCTGAAGTGGACGTTTAAGACGATGACCGTTGTGACGATGGAAAGAGTGACCAGTATCATCGTGAACAGCAGGAACTTTCCAATCAGAGGAATCACAAGGGATGTCGGGGGGATGATTTCAGCCAGCAGCAGAAAGAACACAGTCAAGGAGAGCAGAATGGAGATGCATAATGAAATCTTCTCACCACTGTCAGATGGGAGATAGAAGACAAGAACCGTAAGGCAGGTGATAGAGACGCACGGGATGATCAAGTTGACAGTATGGAAAAGAGTCTTCCTCCTGATGAAAATACTGAAAGTGATATCCGTGAAAGGCTCGACGCAGCAAGTGTAGTATTTCTGATTCCTGCGTCCCGGGACCTTCAACAGATCCCATTCCACGCTTTCCGTAAAATCCCGCAAATCTATACTACCCGAGTCTGTGTCGACAATTTCCGTGTCGTTGTCGTAAATGTCGCTGTTGTTGGCGTCACTTGTTGAGATGTCATGTTCGAAGAAGTTGTTGATGTTGTTGTCGTAAAGATGTTTCAGATCTACCTATATGTACGTATGTACGTGTGTGTGTTTGTTCGTTCATCCATTCATCCATTCATTCATTCATATGTTCGCTCGTTCGTTTGTTCGTTCATCCATTCATTCGTTCATACGTACGCTCGTTTGTTCGTTCGTTTATCTATTCATTCATTCATATGTTCGCTCGTTCGTTCGTTTGTTCATCCATTCAGTCATTCACACGGTTTCCATAATAAGCTTTGTGTTGGAATTAATTATTTTAATATATTTCATTTCATTTGTGTATATCACACACACACACACACACACACACACACACACACACACACACACACACACACACACACACACACACACACAAGCACACATGCATAAGCGTATTTATATGTTTGTTTGTTTGCATGCTTGTGTTTTTTTGTATATATGTCTGTCTGTTTGTTTTTTGGTTGTTTGTTTGTTTGGTTGGTTGGTTGAAAGGTTGATACTTTGGCTGTTTGGTTGTTAGATCGGTTGTTTCGTTGGTTGCCTAGTTGGTTGTTTTCTTGTCAGTTTGGCTGACTGTGTGTGTGTATGTATGTGTGTGTGTGGTGTGTGTGTGTGTGTGCGTATGCAAGCTGGTGTACTTGAAACCGCACCGCTCCTTTCTTACTTTACCATTTAAGAAAAAATTTCGTTTGTGTATGTCTGTGTGTGTGTCTGTGTTTGTTTGTGTTTGTTTGTTTGCTTGTGTTTGTTTGTACGTTCAAATACGTTCAAATTACCTTACCAAGTTTCAAAATTACGAAGTAAAAAAGAGAAAGAAAGACATGGTAAATTAAGTGACAAACATTACAACTACAGAGAATGTAGTGTGTATGTGTTGTGGAATAGTTGGCGGAAATGACGTCATATTATTATTAATCAACAAACTCCTTATTAATAACTTAATTTTATAACTTGACACAAATACACGCACGCACGCACGCACATCTCACACACACACACTCTGTTGTGAAGATCAATATGAAAAATGAATAACATCAAACCAATAAACTTTTTACTGATGTGAATGATTGAATTGATTTTAAGTATAATATATAAAAGAATTTAAACAAAAAAAATTAAATAAAAGAAATAAATATTTTCATTTTTCAATTGTTATGTGAATTCAACTATATAATAGTGTATTGTACACATACTCGAACCATCCCATCAGGAAGCCCGTAGGCATTCGTTGAATTCATTTTAGTATAGTTAATATATTGTTGTTAAACACATATAATAATGTTTCCTATACATTAAATAATGTTTTTTAATAATGTCAATGATTGAAATGATAAGAATACATGAATGGAACTGGTATAAATAGAAGCCGAGAACATGTTGAAATCCGACCGGGCGGTTTAGGGCATTCCCTTAGCGTCTGGTCCATTTTTTTACTTTATTTTATTATTTCTAGACTTCGTTACATATTATTTCTAGAATTATTCGTTTATTTTACGGTTATTATTATTGCGCGGTCATACACATACAAACACACACACACGTACACACACGTACACACACATACATACATACATGCATTCGTTGTCTTGTTGTTTTGTTTGTTTTATTCTCTTTTCCTTACTTTTTTCTTCGTAATCGTATAAGTAGGTAGGTTAATTCGTAAGTTGAGCTAATTGAACATAGGTGAGTTAATTTAGTGAACATAGGTAGGTTAGGAACTCTATTCTTTCATTCTTAAGTTCTATTTTATTTGTATTGTTTTGTATTGTTTTATGTTCAACACAGCACCAACAACAACAATCAAACACAACAATCAACACAATATTATTTTCCTTATATTTTAGTTAAATTATTATTTCTAGAATTCGTTATTTATATTGTTACATATTAATTCTAGACTTATTCGTTTATTTTACTGATATTATTAGTAACACACACACAAACACACACACATGCATACATACATACAAGCATACATTCGTTGTTTTGTTTGCTTGATGTTTTATCCTCTTTTCCTTACTTTTTTCTTCGTAATTGTACAAATAGGTAGGATTAATTCGTAAGTTGAGCTAATTGAACATAAGTAGGTGAGTTAATTTAGTGAACATAGGTAAGTTAGGAACTCTATTTTTTCATTCTTAAGTTCTATTTGTATTGTATTGTATTGTTTTTTGTTCGGCACAACACCAACAACAACAATCAAACACAACATTCAACACAATATTATCTTTGTTATATTTTAGTTAAGTTGTTTATTATTACTAGACCATTCGTTACTTATTATTTCTAGACACTGTCGTTTTATTATTAACCCCCTCGTGAACGGCTGCCTTGACGCGGCGAGGGGGCTTCTCACTAAATGCCGTTCAGTTTTTTTAGTTTTTTTTATTTAGAAAGTTCTAAAATAATCCAAACCTACACACATACAAAAAATGCATACATAAGTTAAAACATACATACATACAAACACACATACCGAAATACACACACATACACACACGCATACATACGCATACACACATACAAACATGGCTGTAATATTGTAGTAATTTGTCTATTTTTCTCTGTTTTTCCTACATTTTGTTATATAAATCATACAAACACATAGGAAAGTGTAAAGTTAGTTGAGTTAACTAGGGATTGAGTTAGCTGTGTGTGGGTAGGTGAGATATGAACTAATTGAACATGGGTAGGCCATGGCTGGAATTAAAGTTTAGAAAAAAATTAATCGACAAAAGGTAGGCAACTTTGTACTTCTCCCTTTCATGTTATGTGATTGTTTTTGTTTCGTGCACACACACGCAATACGCATACAAAGATACAAACATGATACAAATACGAAACAAACATGAAATAAACACGAAACGAACATTATACAAACTTGTTACAAACACTATATAAACATGATACAAACATTATACAAGCATGAAATAAACATGATTCATTCATTCATTCATTCATTCATTCATTCATTCATTCATTCATTCATTCATTCATTCATTCATTCGTTCGTTCGTTCGTTCGTTCGATCGATCGTCCGTTCGTTCTTCCGTTCGTTCGTTCGTTCATTCATTCATTCATTCTTTCATCCATTGATTGGTTGAAATATAAAAATCGAACCTGAAAGCCGTCATAGGTCCATGAGCCGAATTTGAAGCTGCACCGCTGCTCATCAAAGGGGTAAAACTCGACGTCAATGGGGCATGAACTTTTGTAGACGACAGGGGGCTCCCACCTCACCCTGCCATCGCTGTGAATACTGACCATGGTCATCAGGGTCACTTCGTAATTGCCATCTGCACTGTTTGGTTCATCAGTTCATGTTAATCAAAAATGTTCCGATCAGTTATTATCTGTATCGTGTTGTAAAGTGTATTCAGTAGATAAACACACTCATACGACACACACATATATACACTCATGCAACATTCACACACACAGACACACACATAGACACACACACACATACACACACACACACACACACACTCATTCACACACAAACAATTTTGTTTATATTAGGACAAATATAAAATGTGTTCAGATTAATTACATGCTACTTATATAATGTAATAAGTATATACACAATCATACAACACACACACGCACACATACATACACACACTTCTACCACAAACACACACACACTCATACACACACACTCATACACATACACATATTCACATACACACATACAACATACACACGCACGCACACCACAAACAATTTTGTTTGTATTTGGAGAAATATAAAATACACACACGTATGTTTTCTCTGACAATTATATTAATATTCTTGGACGGGTGGGCGGGCTATTGTTGGCATTGGGAATGATGACGACCGTGTTTGAGCAATGCTCTTGGCATTTACAATAAGTTTTATTTTCTATACAGTTTCTGACGTCATTGTTGTTGATGTTTTTTTGTTGAAGTTCTGTTGTCGATGTTGTTGTTGTTGTCGTTGGTGGTGGTGGTGTTGGTTGTTGTTGATGTTGTAGTTGTTGTTGTTGATGGCGATGATGATGGCTTTTTGTTAAGTTTGTTGTTGTTGTTGTTTATGGTTTTTTGTTAAAATAGATGGTATATTTTGTTGTTAAGTTTGTTGTTGGTGTCATTGTGTTTGTTGATGTGCTTGCTGGATGTTGTCATACAGTTGATGATTTTGTTGATGTTATTGTCGTCACTGACGATGACGTCATAGTTGTTGGTGATGTGGTTTGTAATGACGTCATTGTTGTTATTGTTGTTGTTGACGTTAATGACCCGCTAAGTATGTATGGAGTAGTTTGCGAATAGGTGTTGAGAGAATTGAAAATGTTTGTGTATTACCTTAAATGACATCAGCTTTGTTGTTGTTTTTGTTGTTGTTGTTGTGGCTGTTGTTGTTGACGTCGTTAATGTGTTTAATCTTTAATCTTTATGTGTTTATTATATTTTCAACTAGTAGCAAATGCTGGTCGGTTGTTCTTCTTCTCACTATTTTACGTTGTATATATTTCTGATATGTTTGGTTGATCAATTAGGAAGTTAATGAAAAATATGCCAAGAAATTTTGCGTTCATACTTATGTGTGTTTGTGTGTGTTTGTTTGTGTCTCTGTGTGTGTATGTGTGTGTTTGGGTGTTGTTATGTTTGTCTAAATTTTAATGATTTCAAGACATATTCCATAATATAAACTAAAGATTTTATTTAGAATTCAAAATATTTATGAAAATAAACAATTTTGAAAAAATTTCTCAAAAATATTTGAAAACGCATTCAATGCTTTCTATAACTTTGTATACTGCACTGTAAGTACTTGCTTCTAGGAACGATTGTTTGTATGTGTGTGTGTTTGTGTGTGTTTGTGTGTGTGTGTGTTTGTGTGTGTGTGATAATAAATGTGGTTATGGTAGTTAGTTGTGTGGTTGTAGTAGTAGAAGTAGCAGCAACAGTAGCAATCGTTGTAGTAGTAATAGAAATAGTAGTAGTTGCAGCAGCAGTAGTAGTAGAAGCAGCAGTAGCAATAGTAGTAGCAACAGCAGTAGTAATAGTAGTAGCAGCAGTAGTAGCAGTAGTAGTAGTACTGTGATTTTTTATTGTCTTACCGCATATTTATATGAAGTTAAAAATGTTTCTACATTTTAAAAAGAAACTAACAATATTACCATGCTATTTATTATTCCGCCAGTATAAAGCAGTATTGATTTGCTAAACTTGAAAAACAAACTTTGCATCGTCCAGTCCATGCTTTGTTCGACTTGCTTAATTCAAACCAGTTGGGAGAAGAAGACGTCATTTGGTTGAGGTTTGGTTATCAAGAAAAGAATACTAAGTATGTATATTGTGAAGTGTAGAGACTAACACTGTGTATGTATGTGTGTGTGTGTGTGTGTGTGTGTATGTGTGTGTGTATGTGTGTGTGTGTGTGTGTATCATTACG